AATTTATATGAGAGAAAACGGTTTTGCAATCATAAAAAATATCAAATTTTAATTTAAAAAAAAATAATTATTATAATTAATTATTATTATTAATTAATATTTTTAACTATAGTTAAAAATAAATTTAAAAAAAAAACAGAGAAATTTTCAAAAAGAGATTTGACTCTTAAATTGTATTTTTATATAGAATCATTTTTTTAATATGGATTAACGATTTTTTTTTTTTTTGTTTAGGTAAAAGCTAATGGAGAAGTTATTAATTGTTTAAATACTCTGAAAAAGGACAATACGGGTTATCATATGAAACATTTGTTTATTGGTTCAGAAGGAACTTTGGGAATTGTTACGAAAGTTGCCATTCAATGTCCACCTTTACCAAAGGCAACAAACGTTGCCTTTTTAGGTCAGTTTTTTTTATAATTTTCGCAAAGAAACTATTTTTTTATTGTAGATTATTAAATATCTAATTTTAAAAAAATGTCTTATTTTTATACATCAGTTTTATTATTTGATTCTTTTTTTAAAAAGAAATATTTTTTTTGTTTCAATATAGGATTGGACAATTTTGATAGTGTATTAAAAACATATTGTTTAGCGAAAGCTGAATTGGGAGAAATTCTATCATCATGTGAAATGATTGACAGACTTTCATTGGAGGTATGCACCAAGTATCTTCGTTTACAAAATCCTTTAGCGTCAAATGGCGATGGTCATAATTTTTACATGCTAATTGAAACAGCTGGAAGTCAACTTGTACACGATCAAGAAAAATTGACGAATTTCGTGGAAAAAGCAATGAACAATGGAATTATTGTCGATGGCACCATGTCGTCAGAGCCATCTAAAATGAAGGTCAGTTTCTATTTTCTGTTTTTTTTTTTGGAAAATTAATTTTATTAAATAAATTAGGATAATTCCAAAATTAATTATTAAAAGTAAAAAAAAGGTGAATTTTTAAATAAAAATTAATTAAAAAATTCTCTTTTTTATTTAGTGATAAAGGTGATAAAATTGTTGAATTGTAATTTTTTTTTTTGTCTCTTTAGAATATGTGGGCACTAAGAGAGAGAATTGCTGAAGGCGTTATGCATGAGGGTTACACTTATAAATACGATGTTTCATTGCCACTTAAAAATTTTTACAAAGTTATCGAAGTTCTTCGTCAACATATCAAGAGTCCTGAGGTACTGAGAATCAGCGGTTATGGACATTTAGGTAAAGTACATTTTTTTTCTATTTATATATTTTCCTTTTTTTCTCGCTACAGTAAAAAAAAATTTAATAATTTTAAATTAGATACATTTTATTTATGAATTTCTTTTTTATAATTCATGCATTTTTATCAAATAATTAAAATTAGTTAAAATATTTATTAATTCACATTTAGAGATTAGAGTACATTGAACTTTTGAGCGTTATTAAAATGTTATTATTATATAATTTTAAAGGGGAAAATATAGACAGTAATTTAGCATTAAATTAGGTTACGATCCAAAAATATATCAAAAGCGTTACAATTTCGATTTTATATATGAATTTAACAGGTCATTCCAATATTATACTGTCACTAGTCCTTTACTTTAAAAAAAAAAATCGATTAATTATTATATATAAAATATAAATTGAAGTTTAAAATTTATTGGAATTATTTAACATTTAGTAACTCGTTTTATAGTTGAATATTTTTAATTATAGTCAGAGCAAAAATTTTATATATTTCCAAGTAGATTTTGAAAAAAAAAATTATTTTTATTAATGGCATTAGCCATTAATTTTTTCCCTTTGAGAAAAATTTTATTTTTCAATAAATATTTAAAGAAAGAGAGGAAATAAGAACGTGGAGGTACGTTTGGTTGCATGTTTTCAGGCGATCTATTTTAGTTGAGTAATTTTATGATAATTTCCGTATTTTTTCAAAATTTCTTCAAAATTCTCGAATAAATCATAATTATTTATCTCGAAATTGTGAATAATTATTTGTTTTAAAAATTAATGAAATTTCTAAATCAAATTAGAAAAAATTTTTTACTATTTTTTTTCAGTTAAATTTGATTGATATTTAGTAATTATTTGTTTTTACAAAAAAATTTATTTAGTGCAAAAGAAATTAAAAATTTTCCATAATAGATTAAAAAAAAAAAAAAATATCGAAGATAATATTAAAATTGTCGCAGAAGTAAAATTGCTTTCAATTATATATAATCTTAAAATTACTGTATTTAATTTGTGTAATTGACATGAAATTTAATATTCTATTTGACAACAATTATTGGAAATATTTTTAAATTCTTAAATTAGAATAAAAATTTTATCATTTTACAAAAATAATGCTTAAATATTATTATTTCTTAAATATAATTAATTATTGATTTTCAATCATAAAAGATTTATATATTTGAAAATTATTTTATTAATGTATTATTTTCGTGTTAAAAATTTTTATAAAAATATTTCCTCTTTTTTTTTCATGGCGGTAAATTTTTTTTCTTTTTTTTATTGAATCGTTATAAATAAAGATTTTTATCTCTTTGTATATAAAAATGTTCATATCGTTGGATTTCGCTAGATAGCAGCACCCGCTTGATACAGTAGTTACCAAGTAGAATTTGTTCAAGTATAGTAATGTTACGATCACTCACACACATAAAAAAAAACCCTCTTTCCAGGGGTGTAATAATTCTGCCTCTAAAAAGGTTCATATAAATTTTTTTTTTTAATCATTTTCTTTTTACAAAAGATCTACTTTTCAAGATTTTATTTTTTGAAAATTATTTTTATTTTCTTCTTTCTTTTTTATGTAGTTCGTTTTTTTTTTTTTGAAAAGCAATAATATAGTCATTTATTAATAATTCAATTTATCTCGTATATTAAATTAATTATAATATATATAGGAATAATGAGATTATTTCTCTCTTCCTTTTACAATATGGTATTAAAAAATTTTCTTAGGTGATGGAAATATGCACGTGCAACTTTCCTCAAAAGAATACAGTGACGATATTGCTTCTCAATTGGAGCCTTTTATTTTCGAATATATCTCAAAAGTAAATGGAAGTGTCAGTGCTGAACATGGAATTGGATTTAAAAAGACAAAGTTTTTACATTACAGCAAAGATAAATCTGCTATTACACTTATGAAGGAGATTAAAAAAATGATGGATCCAAAGGGGATCTTAAATCCTTATAAAGTTTTATATCCTTTATAAGTACATATATCTAGAAAAATTGACGCAATGGGCTTTTGTTTAAAGATATATATATATATTTTTTTATAGATTATTTATCCATTTTAATTTATTAATTTATCGTAAAAAAAAGAATCTATACGAGATTATATATGAGATTTTAGAAATTGTTTAATAAATTTTATTAAAGTATTTTATTTACAAAAAAAAATTTTAAGCTTCAATGATTTTAATTTCAATTTTATATATTGATATCTAATTTTAACCTACACTCAGAAAAATATTCGTTTGAAGCAACCAAATTTTGGTTAAATCAACAAAATAAATGCATTGATATACAGTTAACGAAACATAAACCAAACGTTTATTTAGCTCAATCAAATTTTTTCTTTGTTCAAAAAATTTATTAAAAAATATTTTATTTATTTATTTATTTTTATTTTTATTTTATTTTTATTTAGATCAAATAAATATTTATTTGAATTAAACGCAAATTTTGTTTGAACTAACCAAAAAATTGGGTAAATATAAAAAAATGGTACATTTGGTTCTTTTTTCTGAGTGTATTTTATGAAATAAAATACTTTATTAAAATTTTGATTTCTTTACGCATATGGTTAAATTTTAAATTAAAAAGTGATATATAAATTTAGTAATTAATGTTACCTGAAAGTAACATTCCATTATATGAGGTTGATATACAAAATAAAACTGATCAATATACGGGTTTATATATATATATATACATTACTTGAGTAATTTAGTAAACAATAAAACATATACATATTTAATTAAGATTGAAATTAATTAAATTGAAATGTATACGTAACGATTTTTATTCTTTCAATTTTACATTTTATTAATTTTTTTTAAAAGAAACAGTTTTATTTTATTTGAATAGTTTTTAATTCAAAAAGATTTTATTGAAAAGTTTTTAATATAAAAATTGTTTTGAATAACAATTTAAAAGCTTTTGTTCCCCTTTGTAAATTTTCTATATATTATCTTTTTTTTTTTGTTAAAAATATTTTTTTGTTAAAAATATATTTTTGTTATAAATATATTTTTTTTAATTTAAATTGAAGAGAGGTCGATTTGCAATTATTACATATATTGTTTTATTACAAAAACGAAAATTCTTGTTTTAGAATGAGAAATTAATTTGAAAAAATTGTTTTTTGGCAAAAAAATTGAAAGATTAAAAATATTTACGAAAAAATTTGATTTAATTATGGTTTTTTAAAAAAAGTTTTATTATACAGTGAGATTAATTTTTAATATATTATGAAATAAATTGTAGAGAATAGTGAAATAAAATCAATGTTCAAGTCTCGGAAAATGGTCGATAGAAACTCGAAATAGAGCCCTCCACTTGTCACTTAGTATATTTGACGTATGAAATTATTTATTGACCCTCTCTTCATGGGATATGTCACCGGAATTGAATTATATTTACCTAATTAATTCTGTAACCTTTTGTGATTGGATAATACTCTAAAGTTGTCAAATTACAAAAAAAAAATGTGGAATTTATCGATTTTTTTTTTTTTTTAACAATTTATGAAAAAAGGCCCATTTTTACAAATATTTTCAATATGAATTTATATTCGAAAAATATATTAAATAAGATAAATATATTTGTGATATAAAAAAAATAAAATAGAAAAATAAAATAAAAATTACATTAAATATAATGTAAAAAGAAAAATTAATAAATTAATGATTTATAGAATAAAAAAAAAAATCAAGCTGTGTTGATGTGTCGAAACATCGTTTTTTGCAAGAGCCTCAATTTATTCCTATATACTGTGTTGTAAAACGAGACAGTTGAGACCTTCTAAATGGATTAAAGTCTCTGCTGTAAGTCTGCAAAGAGAACTTTTTTCTTACAAACCATTCTTCTGTAAATAATCTCTCATGTATACAATATATATGGAATATAGAGACATTTATTTTTACTTCTAAAAGTTTTTACAGGATATAGGTATATATATTTAAAAAAAAATTAATGCTATTTATAAACTCATATGGAATTTTAATAAATAAAAAAAAATTATATAAAAAAAAAAAATGACAAATGAGGGGGATTTTGTTAAATGACACAGGAGGTTTATTCAAAATATTATAATTTATTGGAATTCAAAATGATGACCTACTATTATTCCCTAGGTGGGTAAAATTTGCATGAAGTCATTTTGATATTTCGCATATAATGGAAATATTTGCTTTTTTTTCAATATTTTTTTTCTGCTTTATAACAACGTTTTATTCGTAAAATTAATTAAATTATTAATTTTCGCAAACTGTGATAATAATAATAATTTTAAATATACCATATATATATATATAACTGTGATTTATAATGCTTCAATAATTGATTTTTATGATATGGTATAACTAATATTAGTAAAAATAACTATAACAAACAGTAATTTATATCGGGTGATATAATTACTCGTATATATATATATCATTAATTAATTACTTTATATATCATATTTCTCTGCTATTTCGATATTAATTCTACTATCGCAATGTATTTGTTTAAATTTTTATGCTTTTATGAAATTTTCAAAATTAAATTTTTTATTAACTATTTGTTTTTTCTTTTGCTTATAGATAATGGAGTGTGAAGAATTTAGCCTTTTTTTAATTTCTAATCTGGATCAGTGAAAATTTTCAATGGAAAATAATTGTGAATTATATAATACCACAGGAATCAAGTAATTGGAAAACTGATGTTAAAAAAATGGTGAGTTTTTTGGTATTATTTAATTAGCTTTTACGATTGTCGTTCTTGATATACATACTAAAAAAGAAAATTTAATTCAAATAATCAGTTACTTATTTATTATCAAATAAATATTTCATTGAATCAAATAATTTTTTGGGTCAAATAAATGGGGCGTATGATTATTCAATAAAAAACATTGGTTAGAATTTTGATTTTAAAAAATTACATTGAGTATAATTATTTTTTTAGATGGATTTTAATTTTTCGAATTAGCATTTAATAGAATTTCTTTTTGAACGTATTTTTGTCAAAATTTTTATTTTACGAAATTTCTCTTTTATACAAGTTTTTATTTGAAAGAATTCTAATTTAATCGAATTTTAATTAAGTAGAATTTTATTTTAATAGAATTTTATGTGATTTGAATTTTTAAATAGTAAAATTTTTAATTTACTGAATCCTATGTTGACTGAATTTTTATTTGCACGAATTTTTAAGATAGCGAATTTTTATTTGTCCAAAATTGCAAATAACCGAATAAAAAATCGACAGGAAGAATTCGGCGCGATTTTCAAAATTTATCAATTACAATTCTTTTGATAATTTTCGACTGGTTATAATTTTAAAATTTGAGCCGAAATTTTTCTGTCAATTTTTTGTTCGATCATTTACAATTTCGAACAAATTAAATATCACGGCGTCTTAAAAATTCTATATCAATTAAATATTCGTACGAATAAAAATTCGGAATTTACGAATTTAATTTTAATTTAATTTTAATTTTTACGAATGTTAATATTCGTCGAATTGGAAATTTTGTTATTTAAAAATTCGAATCACAAAAAAATTCGTTTAAATTAGAATTCGTTTTTTTTTTAAAAAAAGTTGTGCAAAGAGACACATAAAAATTTTGGTAAAATAAAATTCGTTTAAAAGAAATTCTATTAAATGCTAATTCGAAAAATGAAAAAAAATAATTCTTTTCCATTTATAATTTCGAACAAATTAAATATCGCGGCGTCTTAAAAATTCTATATCAATTAAAAATTCGGAATTTACGAATTTAATTTTAATTTTTACGAATGTGAATATTCGTCGAATTGGAAATTCTGTTATTTAAAAATTCGAATCACAAAAAAATTCTTTTTTTTAAACAAAAGTTGTGCAAAGAGACACACACAAATTTTGGTAAAATAAAATTCGTTTAAAAGAAATTTTGTTAAATGCTAATTCCAAAAATGAAAAAAAAATAATTCTTTTCCATTTACAATTTCGAACAAATTAAATATCGCGGCGTCTTAAAAATTCTCTATCAATTAAATTTTCGTACGAATAAAAATTCGGAATTTACGAATTTAATTTTAATTTTTACGAATGTTATTATTCATCGAATTGGAAATTCTGTTATTTAAAAATTCGAATCACAAAAAAATTCGTTTAAATTAGAATTCGTTTTTTTTTTTTAAAGTTGTGCAAAGAGACACATGAAAATTTTGGTAAAATAAAATTCGTTTAAAAGAAATTCTATTAAATGCTAATTCGAAAAATGAAAAGAAAAATAATTCTTTAAAATGAAAATTCTAACTGATAATTATGGAATAATCGCGTGCGTCCTAATAATTAAATTGTATATTTGTTTTAAGTATACAGAAATTGTTGGTTCAAATCAAAAAATTATATTTGGTTCAAGTAAACATTTTTTTGGTTCATGTAATTATTTTTGATAATAGTTGATTATTTGAAATGAAATAAATTTTTTTCACTGTATCCACTCAGAAAAAAATTCGTTTAAAGCAGCCAAATTTTGGTTAAATCAACAAAATAAATGCATTGAGTTAACCAAACATTTGGTTGCATAAACCAAACGTTTATTTAGCTCAATCAAATTTTTTCTTTGTTCAAAAAATTTATTAAAATAAACCAAACAGTTATTAAGATCAAATAAATATTTATTTGAATTAAACAAATTTTGTTTGAACTAACCAAAAAATTGGGTAAATATAAAAAAATGGTTCAAACATATCTTTTTTCTGAGTGTCCGAGTTTCGGAATCGGATTATCAATTTTTTTTTTTGCTATAAACATTTTATAATTGACTCCAAGATCCTAATTCTTGTTTTTTTTGCCTTTTTGTCTTCTTTTGATCTTTTGATTTCGATATCTCAAACAGATGTTTGGATTGTTCTTCTAATTCTCTTTTAGTTCCATCATTTATAGTTCTTCTATTTCCATACCCCTTCTTTTGTTCTTCAATCACAGCCCCTTTAAATTCCTCTATCTCAACGTGTCGAATGTTAATCACTTTGAGGTAGAGGGTTACTTTAAACCACTCTTCTTTTTATATCGTATACAAATTCTCTCATTTCTTTTTTTACTTTTCAAGGTACTCTTTGATTTTTGAATCGTTTGGAGTAAAAAAGGATTTTTTTTTCGAAATAATTTATTTTGATATGAGATGACTTGTTCCTGGAGTAACCGCCTGGAGTCGACACCATCGTCGTCGTTGATCGCCTTTCCCTTCGAGCGCTGGATAGCCGGTGATTGCGCGCGTCAGGCTGGTTGTCTGCTTCTATTTCACATATATATATATTTTGAAACAGCTCTCCAGTCTGCAACGAGTGTTCGGCGGGCTTGGAACGATCGTCAGGTTCCTGGCGGAAGGTTCCCGTTTGGCCAAGGACCTTTTTCCACTTGGCCAAACCAAATGACATGTCCTGGAATTGTGTGAAATCGGAGAACGAACGCGACGTGCAATAATAATAAAAAAAAAAAAGGAAAGAAGAAAGGTGGATTGAAAAGGCGTCGTTGTCGAGAGAAAGAGAGAGAGAGAGAGAACGCCTACTACTACGCTGGCGGGAAATCGATAAACGACGTTTCCAAGCAAAGTGCGAGCAGACCGGAAGAGAACATAGGGTTTGGGGGAGAGAAAAAAAGGAAGGTGCGTTATTTTTTCTTTTTTGTCATGGTCGAGTTAGTATTATTATGTTCACATCCCCCTGTAATGTTCTAAACCCGGTCTCACCCACCACCATCTAGTCAGGTTCCCAGCCAAGTACTGACAAGAGCTCTCCTACCATTCTCTTTCTATATAATATACCAACGACCCCGAATCGTTGGGTTGTCGCGTGCCAGTTTTCACCTGCGAGCCAGTCCGCTACCACGCGAGTTTCTAGACACCCAACGTCCTTCCGTTCTCTCTTATATATATACACATTCACAAGTGACTCTTTAACAAGTGAGGTCGTTTCGCTGCGGCTACTACTACTACTCCAAATTGTCAGTCTCTTCTGACAGGTGTCCGTTTCCCAATCTCACGGTTTTTTTTTCCAAAAAAAGTGAATTTTTCAATAGTTTTTAAATAGATTTATCAGCGATTATCAGTCTAGTATCATTATTGGATTGGATGAGCAAAAGCGTGATCGCTCAAGTGGAAAAAGGGGGATAAGCGAAAGGAAATGATGTGTGGACGAAACAAACGCGCGATGGGAATGTGAGAGTGTGGAAAATCTAGGGTCTCTTATGGTTCAGTGTCCTGGTTGTGTGTAAAAAATATTTATTTTTTTTTGGGGATTAAAGTGAAAGTGTCATTTTTTTCAGTTTGTGAAACAATCGCTGATTCTTGATATTGTAAGAAAATTTCATTTTTTTAAATGAATTTTTGTTGAAAAAAAAAAACTAGAATTAATTTGGAAATGTTCCATTTCGAGTATATATAATTTATCGTTGATCATTTTGCCAAATTTGTGGCTAGTCAATTATCATTAAGTTCTGTAACTGGAAAGTGATTAGATCTGAATAATTATCCAAATTTAGATTGACAAATTAAATATGAATATTTATCTTTATTTAGATCGATAACAGGTTGACAAACTATGAATATATTTAAATTTAGATCAATAACTGAATGACAAATATTATCAGTTGGTTTACATATATTTTAGATTATTATTATTATATATGGATTAATAATAGTAGAATTATATCATTAATTGATCAACTTGTTATGTAAAATGCGATAATTGGAATTTATTTTTTTTTTATTTATTTATTTAAAGAAATGCAGTGCTAACACCCAGAGAAATGATTTATTTGAATCAAATAAAACATATTTGAGTTAAATAAACGTATATTTGTCTCATACTAATTTATTTGGCGTATAAATAAAAATTTTATTTGTCAGAAATAAATTTTTCTTTGGCTCAAATAAATTTTTTTATTTCAATAAAATAAAATATATTTGCAACAAATAAATTGAATTAGTACAAATATACAATTTCTCTGAGTGAAGAAAATTCATCTTTTTGAAAGTATAAAAAAATAAAATGAAGCTGAATTATATACGTAACTCTCTAAATTTGAATTAGTAAAAATGTTTACTAATTTGAATTAGTGACTCACTTTTTGCTTCTCAATTAGTAAAATTTTACTAATTATTAGTAACTTTTACACCCAGAGAAATGATTTATTTGAACCATATAAAATATATTTAAGTTAAATAAACGTATATTTGTCTCATACTAATTTATTTGGCGTATAAATAAAAATTTTATTTGTCATAAATAAATTTTTCTTTGGCTAAAATAAATTTTTTTATTTCAATAAAATATATTTGCAACAAATAAATTGAATTAGTAGGCTCGGAGACAAATATAATATTTCTCTGAGTGTATACTAACAATTAGTAAAATTTAACTAATTCAGAAGCAAAAAGTGAGTCACTAATTCAAATTAGTTTTTTACTAATTTAGATTTAGAGAGAACGTTTATGATAAACGATTTTTAAAGAAATAATTTTTTATACCTAAAAAATATTCCTCGGTAGTTTTCATTAATCAATAAATTGTGAAAAAAAAATTTTTTCGACAAAAAATTATAGAATTTTTTATTTTTAAAATTATATTTCTTTAAAAATCGTTTATCATAAACGTTGCGTACTTTTTAGCTTGAGTAATAATAAAGTATAAAAATTAAAAATTAAATTAATTAGTAAGTTTTTAGTTTAGTTATTTTTATTTATTTCGAACACTTGTTTTGTGTCACTCATTTGACACTTATAAATTTTTTGTAAACTTGTAGCGTGTTGTCCATGTATATATACAGTTGCTTTCGTAATTTAGTTTAATGATATCGTTCTCGAGTTTAAAGTTAACTTAACTAACTAATTGTGAATTCTGATTAAACGCGAGTCTAGGTTTATTGTCCTTGTTTACACTCTAGTGATTCAAATATATTTTAGAAATTTCACTGCAAATAATTACTATATATTTATTATTTAATATAAAAAAACTAATTTTTTTTCTAATTTTTATTTGTTTTTGTATTCTTTTTTTTTTATTTCTTTATTTAAAATATTAAATATTTAAGAAATTTTAGCATCCTATTTTTTTTTTTCTAACAATTTTATCAGTGACACATTAATCGTTTATTACTGTCATGGTTCAGTTATTAAACTCTTTAATTATATATGATAATATTCTATCATCTCTTTGAAAGGACTTCCTGTAATCTTACAAAACTCGTTAGTATCATGAACAAACTTTGCTATATATATATATATATATATGTACTTGAAAGTTTACCTACAGTTTGGAAAATATAGAAGGGAAAGGGAAAAATTAATACCGCCACACAATTTTCGTGTATATAGTGTTATCGACTATTATATATATAGAATTTCTAATTTACGACATCTTCCGATCATTCTTCTATGTAACTAAGTGGAAAATAGGGCTTTTTACTGAAAATTGGGATCTTTAGTCATATATAAGTGCCAGTTTAAGTCTTTTCGCGTGCTAGAGTGAGAGAGAGAGAGAGCAAGTTTCTAAAAAGATTTCTTGAGAACATAAATCACTTTTTCATCTCATCTGTGAAAAATTGTCCATCGTTTTATATTCTAGTGGGTATAATTTTTTTTAAATCGCATATGACGTTTGAGAAATAAATCGCAAATATTTCCAGTTTTTAGCAAACTAAAAAAAAACAAATTAATTTTGTTTTCGATCTAAATTATAATAACAATAATAATAATAATTATTATTATATATTTATAAATAGGTTTTTAGCAAACTCAAAAAAACACAAATTAATTTTGTTTTCGATCTAAATTATAATAATAATAATAATAATAATAATAATAATAATAATAATAATAATAATAATAATAATAATCATTATTATTATTATATATTTATAAATAATTATATTATGGTATAGAAAAGGATATTATTTTATATATAATGATTGAAAAAGTGTTTCGTGAGAAAAGCGGTACATTGCGATAATTGTCATCCGATGCAACATTTCCAGATTATTTACAAATTCCTTTTTTTTCCCCTCTTATGTTCGCACGAACTTGTTGTAGAGATAAATAGTTCTTATTGTGAAATTAAATAGATTCTTTTAACCCGAAGGAATACTCTGTAATTGGTAGAGAGAGAGAAAGAGAGAGATCCACTTAATTTGCTCTCTTTTACGTTCATAAACGTCAAACAAGTATCGCTAGAGAGACAATTTTTATTGTATATATAAAAAAAAACAACTATATAATTTCCAATCCAGAACTCGTGAAAGAATCCAGAAGAGGATGAGAGAGTTCTGGGGATAAGAACTTGTATTTAAACCAGATATTGAAAACCTTGAATCATATTCTATATACAACATTCATGAGTTTTAAATTCTATATAATAATTCAAATCGCGCAACCCACATGTAAGTTTTATTGTGTGGGTATTAATTTAAAATTTTAATTTTTGACAATTATTATATTTTTTTTGTGTGTATAATTTGTAATAGAAAGTATTTTCTTTTTTTTTTTAATTTAAAAAGCATATAAGTTTTGAGTACAATGAAATTATTTTATATATTTTCTAAAGAATGAGTTGACATAATATTTCAGTGAAAATACAAAGACTATTTTTGAAAGTAACATTACCATTAAATATATGTAATATAATATTATATAACATAATATAATTTTTTATTTGAAAATTTTTTTTTATATATTTTTTTATTTTTTAATAATTTTTTATTATATTTTTTAAATATTTATTTTGTCATATATATTTTTTTTCAAGTTTGGATAAATTCTTTCAATTGAAAGATAATATAATAAAAATTTTCTATATATGGTGTTTAGGGGAATGAGTATTTGCTATTTTGCAGGGTTCACTGCTTCTATAATTCTTCCATACATCTTCTTATGCAATTAGGGTAGTTTTTAGGTCAAGGGATAAAATAGGGGAAAAATTCAGTAATATTACAAGGATGTTTTCGATTTTCTTTTTCTTTTTGGGTCAAATGCTTATCAACGCTTTTCCAGTGTCTTGTGTTTGTTTTGTATAAAAAAAAAGGCTGCAAAAATCTATTTTCTTTTAAATTTTATAAAAATATATTTTTGTAAACCGATAGTTTATTTAGATTCGATAGTATAAATTTTTATTTACAATTATTATTTAAAATGAAAAAAAAATAAAAATAATAAGTAAATGAAAATAATAATTTCCTTAAATAAATATAATAGTTAAAATAAAAATCAGAGGGAATTTTAGTCAATTGAGAGCCGCCACTTTAAAAATTAATCCTTTTTCATATAAAGAAATTGTGAACGATTTTTTTTTGTTTTTCAACTTTATTTCCAAAATTCGTTTAATTTTTTTTTCCACCCTCGTTTTCATTTGATCAAACATCCCTCATGGGAACAATAACTATATGTTGCAAAATAGTGCAGAGAAATAGTTATATATTTGTCTCAGAGCCTACTAATTCATTTATTTGTTGCAAATATATTTTATTTCATTTGAATAAAAAATTTATTTGTTGCTCCGAGGAAAGGTACCTAAGAAGCAAAAAATTGTAGGTTATGTTTTTGATTTTTAAAGTAAAAATACACAAAGGGAATCAACTATCAATATATAAATTATTGGTGTTTAAATCTTCATA